TTTTCCAGATTTTATTTTATTTTATTTTTTATTTTTTTTATTGAACCCCTTGGCAAGGGGACCCAATTTTGAGAACCACTGAGAAAGCTGTTAAAGCATTAAAGGAAAATGCACAACCAGCATGAGAAACACAGTCACGCACAGATTCCAATTCTAATTATAAATTTATTCTAATATCCACGGAGAAGGCTAAAGGACAGTACATCTAGTTTACATGCATGAAAATGCATGTAGCAGAACACAGTAAGCCTTCATTAAACTAGCAGAGCAGCAGGGGCAGTGTATTTTTACTGGTGTTGTGTCCTGCTGTAGCTGAGGGAGCCTCTTATAGGTCATCTTATCTTACAAGGCTGCATAGAAGAAAAAAAGGGATGGGGTAAATTATTAAATGTGTGCCGGTACGAGAAACAGGAAAACAAAGAAGTACATAAAGATAAAAATGAGTAAAATACAAGATAGATAAGAGTGATCTTTTCCTGGATGACATTGCCCCCATCCATAGGCCATGAAGCGTCACTGCATTGTTTGATGGGGATGAACATGATGTGAGTCATATCCTCTGTCTTTCACAGTCACCCAATTTCAAACCAACTGAACATCGATGGGAGATTTTGGACCAGTGTGTTGTACAGTGTTCTCCACTGTGGTGTTATGTTCCTCCAGGAGACTTTCAGTCACTTCCAAGACACATTGAAGCTGTTCCAGCAGCATGTCGGGGGTCAACACCTTACTAAGACACTTTATGTTGCCTTTTCCTTTAATTAGTCACCTGTCTGTAGGTGGACAGATCAGTAGGCAGCTTATAGAATGCATACAAAGCCAAATGTAAACAAGAATAAAAGTAAGAATAATGAATAGATTAAACAACAATGGCCACCACAACTATTAATAGAGTACGGGCTAATGGATTTTGAGTAAATGCAAGTTGATTAGCAGTGCAAGTATAGCAAAATTAAGTATATTTTAAAAAATGAATACTGCAAGAATAAGGGTTTCCTGCAGATGATGTGAGATAAGATAAGATATGCCTTTATTTTTCTCACAGTGGAGAAATTCACATTGTTGTTAGCAGCATTACACATAGAGATACACACATATGAGACAGAAAAATGTACATATAAATATATAAAATAAATACATACAACACATCCAGCCATCCAATATCTTATGCACAGTTGTATCCTGTAGTGCGCTGTATCTTTAAGAATAAACATAAAGTATAAACAAATACAAATGCACATTGTTCAAAAGGCTAACATAGCCAGGAACTGAGCGCCAGTCCAATGTCAGAATGCAGACGAGCATCGAATCAGTTTCACCCTGCCATCGCTTGGAGGATTTGAGCAGCTGTATGGCCTCAGTATGTCTGTTGAGCAGAACTAAGACAGCAGAACATACACCTCTGCCAAGTGGGTGTGCTGTGTAGAGGCTGGTGGGCATTGTCCATTAAGGACAACGGTTTGTTTAGGGTACTTCTCTCTATCGCCTAAAGGAAACCAGCTCAGTGCCAACCACAAAGCCAGCTCTCCTCACCAGTCTGTCCGGCTGCAATGCATCCCTCTTCTTTATGATGCACGCCACTGCATACAAAAGAAACCTGTCAACAACTAGCTGGTAAAGCATTAGCAGGAGCTTCTCACTGATGCTGAAGGACCTTCAGTCTCCTCAAGCTCTTCCCGTTCATACGAGTGCCATTATTTCCTTCATTAGTTCATTCCTCATCTACTTGCATTTGTAAACACGTTTTTTTTTTTTTTTCTTTTTAACATGGATTTGTAGATGGTCATAAAACTGTCCAGATATTATTTGCCAGTCTCTTCCCTCTCAGTGGGATGATTAACTCAAGTGTAACTTGTTTGACTGCACTAAAAAACCATGTCCTCTCATTCATTCTCTCTATACTCAACTCCATAAATCTTGCACTTACAGCTGTGTCACAAATCTCCCATCAGTCACAAATACTGACATGATGGTACTGAGGTGAAAAAAATAGCTGCCCAGAAATTATGCACAGTATATGCCAACATCTAAGAGAGATACCTGAAGGGGAAGGCATTGGGGTAAATCAATTTGGTAAATGTAAGGACTATATAAGTAAAAGTGAAAAGTCTGTTAAGTTAGATGTAGTTCTAAATTCAGGTGTCTGGCATAATACTGTCTTTACGCTGAGATAATGATCCACTAAACATGATAAAACTTTGTTAAAGGGATATTGTCTGTCTGGTCATTTTACTCATATACAGTACACCTGCTGTAGAGACAAGTGAGCAAAGGCTGTAATAAGAAAAAAAAAAGTTGGTTGATTAAGTAGTGAATGCTCAGCTGACATGGTCTCAGTATCTGATAACCACACTTTGCACATTTAGCAGCACATGTGACAGACTTTTCAGTGTTGTATAAATGATTTTACAAATCCATATTCCTTACCAAATTAATATTGAACAGATGCAGGACTTTTAAAAGGTATATCACATATCAAATAGCAGTGTAGAAAGATCGCAATTACATATTTTCTCTGATAAGAACTTTGGTAACTAATGAGAGGAGGTGGTTGGTTAAAACACATCTCAACAAGCTGGCGACAGTGAACCAAGTTTCTGTAAAAAAAAAACATGAAATCTAAATCTGCAGACAGAATAAAATCATTTAAAATAAAGGTTTTGTTTGATATGGATCTGACATTGAACACAGCCATGTTCAGTGAGGTTGTACTGGGAGCTGCAGGTGGAGTGTGTGTCTGGAAGGTTATTAATACTTCTATGATTAGTGGATGTATTGGGCCATAGGTATCTTGTAGTGATGATGACTGGGATGTTACCAAGAAGCAGTGCTGGGGTGAGACTGCTTCAGGTGACTGTGAGTGGAGCTGGTG